AAAATAAATAAATAAAGGTAGCCTTGGCCTGGGGAATTTGGTGTGATATCATCATTGGACAGGTGAAATGTGAGGAAGGAACTGAGCTGAAATGTTCAAGCAATTATTTCAGGGTGAAGAGTTTTATTGTCTGTTGCATTTTCCTAATGGGTTGGGAGATGTGTGGCAGAAAAACTGGGAGGGTGAGGGTGTCCATTGGTAGCCCCAGAGCTGGGGTTCCAGCTGGGAGAGGTCACTGCGACCCTGCTGGCCCTACCAGTATCCCCAGTATCCCCGCCTCTTTCTCTGTCCCAGTCTCCTGCCTGGGAAAGCAGCGGACATTCTCAGGGCTGCGGAGGGATGGGGGAGGCCCAGAGCCCAGGGCGGTCCAGGGAGTGGTGTTCAGTGGGCATCAGCCCCCAGGACTCCGGGCGGGGGGGTCTCTGCATTGGAGTTTCTCTCTTGTGCCCTCAGAAACCCGATGAAGGCAATGTATCCAGGCACATTCTACTTCCAATTTAAAAACCTACGGGAAGCCAACAATCGGAACGAAACCTGGCTGTGCTTCACCGTGGAAGGTATAAGGCACCACTTAACTGTCTCCTGGAAGACGGGCGTCTTCCGAAACCAGGTAGCACCAAAGTCCTAGTTACACCCCAAATAGGAGCTAAGCAGCTGGGAATTCAGAAAACACAAGAAGTGACGTGCCCGGTACGGGCTCTCCTGTGTGTACTTTCTTGCCACATGTCTTTTTTTTTTTCTTTTTTCTTTTTTTTTTTTTCTTTTTTTTTGAGATGGAGTCTCGCTCTGTTACCCAGACTGGAATGCAGTGGCGCGATCTCAGCTCACAGCAACCTCTGCTTCCCGGGTTCAAGCGAGTCTCCTGCCTTAGTCTCCCGAGTAGCTGGGATTACAGGTGCCTGCCACCACACCCAGCTAATTTTTTTGTATTTTTAGTACAAATGGGATTTCACCATGTTGGCCAGGCTGGTTTCGAACTCCTGACCTCAAGTGATCCACCAGCCTTGGCCTCCCAAAGTGCTAGGATTACAGGCGTGAGACACCATGTCTGGCCTCCTCCCCACATTTTTTAAGTCCGTGGCCCAGATCTTCCTCCCTGACTCTCCTGTGATCAGATTGTGGAGGGGTTTTGCTACTTCCCGAAAGGCCTTGTTTAGCACCCAGCACCCTCACTCTTGACTTTGTTCCCCAAAATCTTGTCATGGAGCTGTACATCCGGTAGTCCTCGGGAAACAGCAGCTGTGGGAAGCAGGGGGTGTGGTGTCCAGCTCTGTGTCTGGGCCAGTCACTGCTGGGCTCATGGGGCCGCCCCTGCCACTGCCCTGATTCCTCAGCAGAAGGCAGGCAGGGAACAAGGCAGACCCCAGAGGGCCAGGCCATAGCAGGGGCTGAGGATGCCTGGTGAATGGATAGCTGGGAGAAAAGATGGCAGAATTCACACATGAGTCTATGAGACAGGGAAAGACTCAATAAAATAAAGAAGGAAGGGGCCGGGCACGGTGCAGTGGCTCATGCCTGTAATCCCAGCACTTTGGGAGGCTGAGGCAGGCAGATCATGAGGTCAGGGGTTCGAGACCAGCCTGGCTAACATGATGAAACCCCATCTCTACTAAAAATACAAAGATTAGCCAGGTGTGGGGGTGCATGCCTATAATCCCAGCTACTCAGGAGGCTGAGGCAGGAGAATCGCTTGAACCTGGGAGGCAGAGGTTGCAGTGAGCCAAGACTGTGCCACTGCACTCCAGCCTGGGTGGCAGAGCAAGACTCCATCTCAGAAAAAAATAAAAATAAAAGAATAAAGAAGGAAGGAGAAGGATAGAACAAGGGAAACTCAATGAATAAAACACCCTGGGGCCTACTATGTACCCAGAAAAATGAAAAGTAAAGAAATAAAATTAGGCCATGCATGTGGTTTACCCTCATAGTCCCAGAGCTTTGGGAGGCTGAAGCAGGAGGATCGCTTGAGCCCAAGAGTTTGAGATGAGCCTGGGCAACATGGTGAAACCCCGTCTCTACAAAAATTACAAAAAAATTAGGCAGGTGTGGCGGCACACACTTGCAGTCCCAGTTAATTGGGAGGCTGAGGTGGGAAGATTCCTTGTGCCTGGGAGGTCAAGACTGCAGTCAGCCCAGATTGCACCACCGCACTCCAGCCTAGGCAACAGAGAGACACCCTGCCTCAAAAATAAATAAATAAGGAAACGCCCCCCGGCTCTGGCCCACCTTCTGCTCCCATTGCCTCACCCCTACACTTCTCCTGCTCCTGGTCTGAGCTCCCCTGCTCTCCTCCTCCTCCTCCTCCCCCAGGTCGATCTTGAGACCCATTGTCATGCAGAAAAGTGCTTCCTCTCCTGGTTCTGCGAGGACATACTGTCTCCTAACACAGACTACCAGGTCACCTGGTACACATCGTGGAGCCCTTGCCCAGAGTGTGCCAGGGAGGTGGCCGAGTTCCTGGCCAGGCACAACAACGTAATGCTCACCATCTATACCGCCCGCCTCTACTACTCCCAGTGTCCGAATTACCAGCAGGGGCTCCGCAGCCTGAGTGAGAAAGGGGTCTCTGTGGAGATTATGGACTACGAAGGTGAGATGTGGGGTGGCTGAGGTAAGCGGGTTCGGGAGGGACAGCATGAGGGGCAGGTGGGTCTCCAATGCCATGGGGCGGGGCAGTGTCCCCTGGGAGTCTGTGGGGACGGAGCTGGTGCCCACTGCAACTGGCAGTCAGGAGACCTGGCCTGGGAGGGCCCAGGGCCTGGAGAGAGGCCTGCTGGGTCCTCACTGCTTTCTCCTCGTTTTTTCTCAGATTTTAAATATTGTTGGCAAAACTTTGTGTACGATGATGGTGAGCCATTCAAGCCTTGGAAGGGACTAAAAACCAGCTTTCGATTTCTGAAAAGACGCCTGCGGGAGATTCTTCAGTGAGGGGTCTCCCCGGGCCTCATGGTCTGTCTCCTCTAGCCTCCTGCTCATGCTACGTGGGCCTCCCCTCCACCCTGAACCAGCTCTGCTTTTGTCTGGTCATCCTGAGCCCCTCCTGCCCTCAGGGCCATTTCACAGTGCTCCCCTGCCTCACCGCCTCCTCCCCGCTCTCCCAGGCTCTTCCTTCAGAGGCCCCTTTCTGCCTCCATGGCTACCCATCCACCCCCTCAGACCCTGTTCCTCCAGCCTGCGTGCCCCTAACCTGGCTCTTCACATCTCCCCAGCATAACCAAATCTTACTAAACTCAACCTAGGCTGGGCATGGTGACTCACGCCTGTAATTCCCCAGCACTTTGGGAGGCAAAGGTGGGAGAATTGCTTGAGCCCAGGAGTTCAAGACCAGCCTAGGTCACATGACAAAGCCCCATCTTTACCAAAAAAAAAAAAAAAAAAAAAAAAAAGCTAGATGTGGTGGCATGCACCTATAGTCCAAGCTACTTGGAAGGCTGAAATGGGAGGATTACTTGAGCCCTGGAGGTGGAGGCTGGAGTGAACAGAGATCGCACCACTGAACTCCGGTCTGGGCAGAGTAGATCGAGACCCTGCCTGAAAATAAATCAATAAATAAACTCAACCTAAATGGGTATGAATATATGTAAATTGAATACCAGAAGTTTTGAGAAACATCCTTTGCAAATTTCATCCTATGAATTGGGTCATTCATGTCCTACCCAGCTAAAACAGAGGCCAGGAGCCAGGGAGGAAAAGCAGTCAGGTCACACACCATTGCTCCCGAAATGGACTTCTCTGCAAGCCTGACTCCTGAAACTGTGCGTTGTACCCTGAAACCAGCTTTATCCATAGCTTCTGCGATAAATGGCTGTAAGTCTTGGACTCCTGGCTCCAAAAGCAGCGACTCAGCAATGGAACCTCCTAGCTCCCAACCCTTCCTGGTGCCCATGGACTTTCCCAAAGGGCAAGAGAACGTTTCTTCTCCTATAATTGCCGTCTCTTTGTTCTCCCGACATGGTGAACACCATTCGGACTGCGTGTATGTCCCAAATTACAATTCTTTCTTTGCTAATGAAATATGAAATTTAGAGGCTCTTCTCCACACTTTAAATTTGACTTGACATTTTCAAGGCAGATGTAAGTTATTAGAGAATGAGACTCTATAAAAATGACCCCTTCATGCCGTGGCCTCCATAGAAGATGCCCCAGGCCAGGTGTCCACACGGCAGGCATTTATTTTCTCGCAGATCTGGAGGCTGCAGGTCCAAGTTCGAGGGGTGGGTGGAGTTGTTTTCTCTGAGGTCAATTCTCCTGGCTGGCAGGGAGTCTCTTCCAGCCGTGTCCTCTGTGGCTTTTCCTCTATGCACCTGCACCTCTGGGGTCTCTCTGCCTCCAAATATCAAATATCAACCTTTGTTTTTTCTTTTGAGACAGAGTTTTGCTCTTGTTGTCCAGGCTGGAGTGCAACGGCACGATCTCGGCTCACTGCAACCTCTGCCTCCCGAGTTCAAGCGATTCTTCTGCTTCAGCCTCCCAAGTACCTGGGACTAAAGGCATGCGTCACCACACCTGATTAATTTTGTAGTTTTAGTAGAGAAGGGATCTCACCATGTTGGCCATGCTTGGTCTCAAACTCCTGACCTCAGGTGATCTGCCTGTCTTGGCCTCCCGAAGTGCTGGGATTACAGGTGTGAGCCACTGTGCCCGCCTGGGATGATATGTTACACGCATATTTGTTCGATAAGCCTGGACTGCAACCACTTACATGAATATTCATAGCTCCTCCTGTAGCCTGTTGAATATGTATGTTTAGCCAATCTCTTCAGCATAAAGCTCCTGCCCCAACCCCTCCTGCTTCTAAATGTCTGTATCTGGTGTTTCCCAGAGGCTGCTTTTCCTAGGCTGTGGGATGGCCACCTTGCAGGCTATCACCCTTATCAAGAAATAAAGTGTTCTTTGTAAATGTATACCTTGTGTGATTTTTAGGTATCTGCACTATGGGAGCATGCTACCAGGGGAAGGGAGCTGTGAGACCCACAGGGAGGCTCCAGACAGGCTGGCCTGGGACACCAGCCACTGCCCTTCCATGACATGGGGACAAGAGAGGGCAAAAGTTCATCCTACCAGGGAGCAACTCAGGGCAGGAGATGGGGAAGGAGGAGAAGCAGGAAGGAAAGAGCTCAGTTTGGGGGTGCACATGACATCTTGGTGGGACATCTGAGGCCCACACCCACCTGCTGTCCCTGACTCCCATGGTGGCCTCCTAGTGTGAAGGCCTGGGGGGAGGCAGACGCCATGCCCTTCACTCTCCCTCCCTGTCCCCATGGCTCCTGGGTGGGGGGCATCTCTGGGTTGATACCTGAGAGCGGGATCTGGGAGTCCCTGCAGAGACATCAGCCTGTCTGTCTTGATGGTGCAGAGGAGGCTCCAGCTGGGTGGGACCACCAGGGGAGGGACGTCTGCTCTGCTGGCTCAGCCTAGTGTGGACCCACCTCCAGGCCTCTGGCTGCAATGACTTTCTCTTTCACTTTGCAATGGCCTTGGGTCCTGCCTCAAGGAGCAGCCTGTCTTTGTCACAGGTCCCTCTACACAGGGGAGGGCCCCAGAGAAAACCAGAAACAGGGTGAAAGACTGAGTAAGATAAGCATCCCATGGCCTCCCACACCAGCGCCAGAACAGGAAGGGGGAGGGGCCAAGACTCACAAGGCCTTGGGAGATCACTTTTTTTTTTGAGACAGAGTCTCGCTCTCTCACCGAGGCTGGAGTACAGTGGCACGATCTTGACTCACTGCAACCTCCGCCTCCCGGGTTCAAGCGAGCCTCCTGAGTAGCTGGGATTACAGGTGCCCACCACCACACCCGGCTAATTTTTGTATTTTTAGTAGAGACGGGGTTTCTGCATTTTGGTCAGGCTGGTCTGGAACTCCTGACCTCGTGATCCGCCTGCCTCAGCCTCCCAAAGTGCTGGGATTACAGGCATGAGACACCGTGCCTGGCTGGGAGGTCATTTTAAGGAGGGCTGCCCAACTGCAAGGGCGCTGTAAGCAGGAAGTGAAACCACAGCGCTTCAAAAAAAAGAGCGGGACTGGGACAAGCGTATCTAAGAGGCTGAACATGAATCCACAGATCAGGTACCGCTGCCCGCTCAGTCCGCCCGGGTCTCTCCGGCCCCTTCCTGTCTGGTGGTCCTGCTGGGCCTCAGCCCTGGCCTCCCTCTGCCCCAGCCCCAGCCCCAGACTTCCTTCCCTCTGGCTTCCCTGCTATCCCCACTCCCAGCCACGCTACTTGCCCTGCCGTGTGGTTGCCCCACTGCTGTTTCTGAATGGGCAACCTTCCCCACCTGCCACAGCCCAGGCCCCCTGCTGAGACTGTCCACTGAAAGTCATCGCCAGGCTGGTGCTCCCCACCCTGAGAGGGTGCTCCCTCTGTGTGCTTCTCGCCATTCCTGAGCTCAGGAACTGGGAGAATTGAACTAAAGGATGATTGGGGCAATCAGGTATTTTGTTTACAGCGCTTTATTGGACTTTCTGTAAGATTTACTTTGTTTAAATACAAAGTCTTAGGAGAGAGTGTGGGGAGGGAATGATCTCTGAAGCACAAGATGAATCATATCGTCCAAGGATGACTCCACAGTCAGCAGGTGGCCCCAGACAGATTCCACTCCAAGGTCACTCTTCATCTTTTAGAACATGACCAGTAACATGGAATGTGAGAAAGAACGCAATGATCAGGAGAAATGTTCTGATTTTAAAATTTAGTGAAAAGAGAGCCCAGTCCCCAACAGCTTTCTCCTGCAGGGCCCCGTGATGCAGAGACTGGACAGGGCTGGCCTGGAAAGGGGCCCCAGCTCCATCTGTCCCCAGCTCTGTGGCCTGGGCAGGTTACCCCACCTCTCTACACCTCTGGCCCCTCCTCTGTAAGATGGGAATGGCCCCGACAGGCCTAGGGCAGCCTTACATGAGCTCATACCCATGCAGCACTTAGAAGAGTGGCCTGGGCCTCAGAAATCGGTTCAACCATGATTTTAAAATAATGTTAACATGCAAAGTGAAGCATCAGGAAGGTATTGAGCTGAAAGGTTAAAAGCCATTTTTTAAGGGTGAAGAGTTTTATTATCTTTTGCATTTTCTTAATGAGTTGGGCAGTGGGTTGGCAGAAATACTGAGAGGGTGGGAAATGTACCCCTGGAAAGGCCAGAGTTGGGCCCGAGTTGGGAGAGATCACCCCGGCCCTGGCGCCCCTGCCAGCATCCCCTCCTCTTCCTCTCCCCTCAGTCTTCCTGCCTGGGAAGACAGCAGAAATCCTCAGGGCTGTGGAGGCGTGGGGGAGGCCCAGGGCCATCCCAGGAGCTGTGTTCAGTGGACATGAGCCCCGAGGACTCCAGGGAGGGCTCTCTGCATGGCCGATTTCTCTCTTGTGCCTTCAGAAATCCGATGGAGCGGATGTATCGACGCACATTCTACTACAACTTTGAAAATGAACCCATCCTCTATGGTCGGCGCTACACCTGGCTGTGCTACGAAGTGAAAATAAAGAAGGACCCCTCAAAGCTCCCTTGGGACACAGGGGTCTTTCCAGGCCAGGTACGACCCAAATTTCAGTCGAATCGTAGGTACGAACTAAGCAGCTGGGAATGCAGGAAACACGTAAGTAAAATGCCCGGTGGCGGGCTCTCAATTGTATATTTTTTCCCACATTTATTTTTTTTTCTTTCTTTCTTATTTATTTATTTATTTTGAGACAGAGTCTCCATCTGTTGCCCAGGCTGAAGTGCAGTGGTGCGATCTCGGCTTACTGCAACCTCTGTCTCCTGGGTTCAAGCGATTCTCCTGCCTCAGCGTCCTGAGTAGCTGGGACTACAGGCACCCGCCACCACGCCAGGCTAATTTTACTATTTTCAGTAGAGATGGGTTTTCACCATGTTGAGCAGGCTGGTCTCGAACACCTAATCTCAGGTGATTCACCTGCCTTGGCCTCCCAAAGTTCTGGGATTACAGGCGTGAGCCAGTGTGCCTGGCCACATCCCACATTTCTTTTTTTCTTTTCTTTCTTTCTTTTTTTTTGAGACAGAGTTTTGCTCTTGTTGTCCAGGCTAGAGTGCAATGGCTCAATCTTGGCTCATTCAACTTCCGCCTCCTGGGTTCAAGCGATTATCCTGCCTCAGCTGCCTTAATAGCTGGGATTACAGGTGCCTGCCACCATGCCCAGCGAATTTTTTGTATTTTTAATAGAGACGGGATTTCATCATGTTGGCCAGGCTGGCCTTGAACTCCTGACCTCAGGTGATCCGCTCACCTCGGCCTCCCAAAGTGCTGGGAACACAGGTGTGAGCCACCGCGCCCGGCCTCCACTTCCCACATATCTTAAGTCCGTGGCCCAGACCTTCCTGCTTGACTGCCCCGGCCACTGCCCTGATTCCTCCATGGCAAAGATGCATCATCACAGGATGGTGAACCCTCACTCCTCACCCTGCCACCCTGACTCAGGACACTAAGTTCCTCGCCTTGTCCCACCCATCCGTACGGCCCCCTCCGCCCAGGCAGGAAACCTTTCAGAGTGTGTTTGGGGAGGGAGCCGTCTGTGTGCTGGGCAGGCCTGACCTACAGCGGTGCTGGCCACGGAAACACCCAGGACTCAAGAGTGAAGCACAAGTGTTTCCAGTCCCCACACGCTAAAAAGGTGACAAAAACTGGTAAAAGTAATTTTAATATTTAATTTAATCCAATGTAGCTAACATATTACTTCAACACTGATTAACATAAAATTATTTGTGAGATAGTGAAGTTTCTTTTTCTTCTCACACTGAAATGAGCAGTGTATGGTGTATTTTTCATGTGCTGAGGTCTCTCATCAGAGCCCCGTTTCAGGTGCACAGTAGCCCCCTTGGCCAGTGCCCCCCAACGTGGGACAGCGCAGGTCCAGTGGCTTCTCCAGCAGATGGCAGGGAGGGAACAAGGCCGACCCCAGAGGGCCAGGCTACAGCAGGGGCTGAGGATGCCTGGTGAATGGATGCCTGGGAGAATGGATGCCAGAATTCACGCACAAGGCCGTGAACAGGGCTGGGAAAACTCCCAAACGAAGGGAAGCACATGTCTTGGTGCACCTTGTGATGCTTCAACAGCAGGATTGAGACGGGGACATTGACAATGAATAGAAATGTGCTGGCTCGAGTTCTGGATGCTGGGAAGTCCACTGTCAAGGCACCAGTGACTTTCCAGGGCCTGCGAGCTGCACAGTCACCTGGTGGTGAAGGTTATTGCCAGAAGCTCAGGGGATGCTCCAGATAGAGTGGCCTGGGATGTCGAGTCACTGCTGCTCCATGACACCAGGACAAGAGGAAGCAGGAGTTTAGTCTGACCCACTGCCCCTCCAGCTGAAGCAGGAGTTTGAATTGACCCACTGCCCCTCCAGCCAGAGGGCAAGAGACAGAAAGTGGCCAAGTTGCCCCTAAATAACCACAGCAGTGGCACCCACAAAGGTGCAGTCCCACAGCCTCACAGCCGCTTGTAGGTGCCACTCCCCAAGGCCATTACCATAGCAATTAACACTGAACATGAGCTTTGGAGCAGACAATCACTCAAACTAAACAGGGGGATGGAGGAAAGGAGCTTCAATGGCAAGATCCCCCTGACTCCTGTGCTGGCCCCTCCTCCCACTGCCCTCACCTCCTGCTCCTCTCCTCCTGCTCCCCCTCTCAGAGCATCCCCTGCCCCTGCTCCTCTCCCACGCATTTCCAGCCTCAGTACCACGCAGAAATATACTTCCTCTCTTGGTTCTGTGGCAACCAGCTGCCTGCTTACAAGCACTTCCAGATCACCTGGTTTGTATCCTGGAACCCTGCCCGGACTGTGGCAAAAAGGTGACCGAATTCCTGGCTGAGCACCGCAATGTCACCCTGACCATCTCCGCCGCCCGCCTCTACTACTACCGGGGTAAAGATTGGCGGAGGGCGCTCTGCAGGCTGCATCAGGCAGGGGCTCGAGTGAAGATCATGGACTATAAAGGTGAGAGGAGGTGGGGTCAGGGGAGTGTGATGGGGAGGAACAGCATGAGAGATGGATGGATCTGCAATGCCATGGCTGGGGTGTCCCAGGCAGCCTGCAGGGTCAGGGCCGGTGCTCACCACAACTGACAGCCAGGAGACAAGGCCTGGGAGGGCAGGACCAGGTCAGGGAAGAGCCTGACTGCTTCCCGCCTCTTCATACAACTGCATACTGCTGGGAAAACTGTGTGTACAATGGAGGTCAGCCATTCATGCCTTGGGACAAATTCGATGACAATTATGCATTCCTGCACCTCAAGCTAAAGGAGATTCTCAGGTGAGGGTCTCCCTCTGGCCTCATGGTCTCTCTCCTCTCACCTCCTGCTCATCCTCCTGAGGCCTCCCTGGCCAGGCCCTCCTGCTCTCCCTTTCAGCCTTCCCTGCCTGCCCCCATGGTCACACCCCCTCACCCCCAACTCGTGAGCCCACCTCCTGCCTCCCCACTGCTTTCCTGGGCCCCTCCTGTGAGTGAGAGGCCCCTTCGGCCTCCAGAGCGACTCCTCCACTCACCCCGAGGCTGCCCTCTCACAGCCTGGGATCCCCAACCTCACTCCTTCCATCTCCCTGGCATAACCGGCTGTCATAACACTGACGGGCGGCGTGAATATCTACAAGCCCGACAGCCAGAAGCTTTGAGCAACATCCTTCAAGGCTGACCTGAGCCCTCAGAGAAGGAGCCGCCACTGTGGAAACAGAGCTTCAGGCTTCGGCTGCCGAGAAGATGGCCCGGGGCCGGTGCCCATAGGCAGGCATTTATTTTCTCACAGACTGAGGCTGCAAGTCCAGGGTGGAGGGGTGGGCGGGGCTGTGTCCTCTGCAGCGCCTCCTGGCCTCTGTCCTCTCCCGGGCTGCCTCCTCTGTGCACCTGCAACCCTGGGGTCTATCTGCCTCTAAATGTCCCCTTCCTTGTTAATGGTCCCCAGTCAGAGACAGGATTAGGCCCACCCTAAGGACCATGAGCACTTTAACCACCACTTTAGTGGACCTGTCTCCAAATACAGTTATCCTGTGAGGAGGTGGGGATGAGGACTCTAACATATCAATGTTGGGAAGATACAATTTAGCTCATGACAATGACCCAGGGGGACTTTGGGTCAAGCTTGATGGTGTGTGCAGATCCCCGCTCTGTGTGTTCGCCTCCCAGAGTCCTGCCCTGACCCCTCACAGCCTCCTCCAGACTCCTTTGCTGCACCCTGGGCCGCACCCCATGGCTTCCCCACCAACAGCACTCCAGCCTGGCCCCCCTGCTCATGCCTATCACTTCTCAAATCCCCACCACAGGATGCAGATGCAGAAAGAGCCAAACACTCAGTGACTGTCCCATGTGAATAAATTTTTTTTTTTTTTTTTTGAGACAGCCTCTCCCTCAGTCGCCCAGGCTGGAGTGCTGTGGTGCGATCTCGGCTCACTGCAACCTCTGCCTCCCAGTTCTAGCAATTTCCCTGTCTCAGCGCCCAAGTATCTGGGATTACAGGTGCATGCCACTGCTGCCAATTTTATTTTTAGTAGAGACGGGGTTTTGCAATCTTGGCCAGGGTGGCAGTGAGATTTAAGGTGCTGTGAGTTTAATAATAGAGATTTGAGGATGGTGGAGCTTTCCAGGAAACACAATAGAAAAGGGCAACCAGGGACTCCAGAGGCCATAGCGAGCCCAGGCTCCTGAGACAGGAACTGAGCACCTGGGGCTTGGACCAGAGGAGAAAACTGCAAGACAGGGTGGTCAGACACCAGCATCCGCCCCTTCCACATATAGATTGAGCTCAGCCTGCCAGGGAACAACTCTGGGCAGAAGATGTGGAAGGAAGGAGCTCAGTGTGGGAGCAATGCGTGGCATCGGTGGGGGACATCTGAGGGTCACCTCCCACCCAGCGATATTCCTCCCCTCCAATGGCGGCCTCTGAGTGTGAGGGCATGGGGGTGAGGCAGACACCCTGCCCTCACTCTCCCTCCCTACCACATGCTGCTGGGTGGGGCGCCCTGATGATTCCTGAGGCCAGATCCAGGGGTCCCCTCTCCCCTGGAGGTCCTCCCATCCAGGTGAGAAGGCAGCATGGAGTGAGGCCGGCACTCAGATGCGCCTGGGAGGTCACTCACAGCGCAGGTGCCTCCCTGGAACAAGTAGCCTGGAAGATAGAATAGAACTCCAAGCCCAGACTAACATCAGGGCCAGGACAATTCCTGCCAAGGAGGCTGCATATGAAGCTCCCAGATCAGGGACCACTTCGTGCCTGCCTCAAGCAGGGCCTCTGCTGCCTCATCTTGTCTGGTGGCCCTGCTGGACTCAGCCTCTGGCCTCTCCCCGCCCCAGCCCCTAGCTCTGGGCTCTACTCTGCTTCCTCTGCTGCTCCCACTCCCAGCCAGGCTTCCTTGGTCTGCTATGTTGTCGCCCACTGCTGCTTCTGAATGGGCTGCCTCTCATCTGCCCCCAGCCCAGGCCCCTGCTGAGACCTCCCGGAAAAGTCAAAGTCACCGCGCTGGCTGGTGCTCCCCACCCTGGGAGGGTGCTCCCTCTGTGTGCTTCCCACCATTCCTGAGCTCTGGAACTGGGAGAATTGAAATCCAAAGGGATGATTGGGGCAATCAGGCATTTTGTTCTCAGTGCTTTGATGGAATTTCTGTAAGATTTACTTTGTTTCAATACAAAGTCTTAGGAGAGGGTGTGGGGGAGGGAATGGTCTCCTACTAGAAAATAAGCCATTTCTTCCAAAGATGCCTCCAGTGTGAGCAGAGGAGGATGCACATGACTCCCAGACACAGGCTCCTCCTCTGTAAGCACCACCGCTTTTAGAATGACCCTGTAATATGGAATGTAGGAAAAAAATATGATGATCAGGAGTACGTTTTATTTTAAAAGTTTAGTAAGAAGAGGAGTTCAGTTCCTGGCCAGCCCCGCTGCAGGCCCGTGATGCAGAGGCTGGACAGGCTGGCATGGAAAGGGGCCCCTGCCTCGACCTGCTGCCCCAGCTCTGTGGCTCGGGCAGATTACCTGGCCTCTGTACGCCATGGCACCTCCTCTGTGGTGCCAGGGATGGTCCCTGCAGGCCTCAGGCACATGCCATGGAGCTCATAAGGCAGTTGGGGAGAGTGGCCTCGGCCGGCTGGGCACAGGACCTGCGTCTCTCATCCCAGCACTTTGGGAGGCCGAGGCAGGCAGATCATCAAATCAGGAGTTCAAGACCAGCCTGGCCAACATGGTGAAACCTGATCTCCTACTAAAAATACAAAAATTAGGCAGGGTGCTGGTGGCTCGACACGCTTGTCATCAGCACTTTGGGAGGCCAGTGGCGTGGACTGCTGTCAGGAGTTCGAAGACCATCCTGGCTAACATGCCATCTCTACTAAAAATACAAAAAATTAGACAGGTGTGGTGGTGGGCTTCTCATATCTCTGCAGCTACTTGGGAGGCTGAGGCAGGAGAATCATTTGAAACCAGGAGCCGGAGAGTGCAGTGAGCCGAGATTGTGCCACTGCACTCCAGCCTGGGTGAACGAGTGAGACCCTATGTAAAAAAAAAAAAGAATAAATTTGGTGTGATCCCAATGTAAAAATCATCATCATCATCAGAAGGTAAAATGTGGGGAAGGAACTGAGCTGAAATGTTCAAGCAATTATTTTAGGGTGAAGAGTTTTATTCTCTGTTGCGTTTCCTAATGGGTTGGGAGATGCGGCAGAAAAACTGGGAGGTTGAGGGTGTCCATTGGTAGCCCCAGAGCTGGGGTTCCAGCTGGAAGAGGACACCCTGGCCCTGCTGCCCCTGCCAGTATCCCCAGTATTCCTCCTTTCTCTCTCCCAATCTTCCTGCCTGGGAAAGCAGCAGACATTCTCAGGGCTGCGGGAGTGGGATGGGGGAGGCCCAGAGCCCAGGGCCGGCCCAGGAAGTGGTGTTCAGTGGGCATCAGCCCCTAGACTCTTGAGGAGGGGAGTCTCGCATTGGGATTTCTCTCTTGTGCCCTCAGAACTTGAGTGAGGGCAATGTATCCACACACATTCTAGCTTCCAATTAAAACCTGCTAGAAAGCCATGGTCGGAATGAAACCTGGCTGTGCTTCGCCGTGGAAATTATAAAGCAGCGCTGAACTGTCTCGGAAGACAGGCGTCTTCAAACCAGGTAGCACCTCTGCAAGTCCCAGTTACACCCTGGGAACAGAGCTAAGTGACAAATGCAGAAAACACAATAAGTGGACGCCTGGCATTGGCTCTGTATATTTTCCTTGCATGTTCCTTCTTTTCTTTTTTTCTTTTTTTGAGACAGAGTCTCTCCCAGGCAACCTCCGCTTCTTGCTCGAAGGAGTCTTCTCCTGCCTCAGCCTTCCTGGAGTAGCTGGGACAGAGGCCGCCACACCCGCCAATTTTTATTCTACTTTGAGACATGAGCCACCATGGCACAGGCTGAGCCAACTCCCGATCTCACGTGAACCGCCCCTTGGCCTCCAAAGTGCTAGGATTACAGGCATAAGCCACTGTGCCCAACCTCCTCCCACATTTTTTAAGTCCGTGGCCCAGATCTTCCTCCCTGACTCTCCTGGGATCGGATGGTGGGAGGGGTTTGTCTCTTCCCTGTAAGGCCTTGCTTAGAGCCCAGCACTCACTCTTGACTTTTCCAAAATCTTGTCCACACGGGCACTGACTCCTTCCACCTACCCTGTCGTGTCCTGCCCACCCCTGCAGTCCCCTCCGCCCTGGCAGGAGAGACTTTTCAGAGTATGTTTGGCGTTGGGAGTTGTCTAAAGGCAGGCCTGGCCTACAGCAGTGCTGGCCTCAGAAACACCTAGGATCAGGAGTGAAGCACAAGTGCTTCCAGTCCCCACACGCTTAAAAGGCGGCAAGAACTGGTGGAAGACATTTTAATGTCTGCATTAGCTCCATTATCTCACATATGATTTCATACTTAATATAAAATGCCTCATGAGGGAGTTAAAGTTTGTCTATTCTCACAATGAGATTTTGAAATGAGCTGTGTAT